GTTGTTGAATTGTGTAAATTCTTTCTATATTTTGGATACTAACCCTTTATTGTATATATCATTTGAAAATACAGTCTCATGCAGTAGGTTATCTTTCAGTTTTGTTGGTTGTTTCCCTTGGTGTGCAGAAGATTTTTATTTTGATGCCATCCCAATAGTGTAGTTTTGTTTTTGTTTCCCTTGCTTCTGGAGACCTATCTAGAAAAATGTTGCTATGGTTGATGTCAGAGAAATTACTGCCTGTGTTCTCTTCTAGGATTTTTTTATGGTTTCAGGTCTTAAATTTAGGTATAATCCATTCTGAGTTTACTTTTGTGTATGGTGTAAGAAAGTGGTCCAATTTCATTCTTTTCCATGTAGCTGTCCAGTTTTCCCAACACTATTTGTTGAAGAGACTGCCTTTTCCCCATTGCATATTCTTGCCTCCTTTGTCAAAAATTAATTGACCAAATAATCATGGGTTTATTTCTGTGTTCTCTGTTCTATTCCATTGGTTTATATATGTCTATTTTTTGCCAGTACAATACTGTTTTGATTACTACAGCTTTGTAGTATGTCTTGAAATCTGGGATTGTGATACATCCAGTTTTGTTCTTTTTCAAGATTGCTTTGGCTATTTGAGGTCGTTTGTGGTTCCATACAAGTTTAAAGATTATTTGTTCTTGTTCTGTGAAAAATGCTATTGGTATTTTGATAAAGATTACATTAAGTCTGTATATTGCTTTGGAAAGTATGGACATTTTAACAATATTGGTTCTTCCAATCTGTGAGCATGAAATATATTTCCATTTGTTCATGTCATCTTTAATTTCTCCTATCAAAGTTTCATAGTTATCAGGAGGCCTTTCACCTCCTAGGTATTTTATTATTTTTGGTGCAGTTGTAAATGAGATTGTTTTCTTAATTTCTCTTTCTGCTACCTCATTATTAGTGATAAAATGCAACAGATTCTGTAGGTTGATTTTGTATCCTGCAAACTTACTGAATTTATCAGTTCCACTGGTGTGTGTGTGTTTGTGTGTGTGTGTGTGTGTGTGTGTGTTTGCTTTTGTTTTTTGTTTTTTGGTGGAGTCGTTAGGGTTTTCTGTATATAGTATCATGTAATCTGAAAGAGTGAAAGTTTTATTTCTTCCTTGCTGATTTGGTTGCCTTTTATTTCTTTTTCTTGTCTGATTGCTGTAGCTAGAACTTCCAATACTATGTTGAATAAAAGTGGCAAGAGTGGACATCCTCGACTTGTTTCTGATCTTAAGGGAAAAGCTCTCAGTTTTCCACAATTGAGTATGATATCAGCTGTGGGTTTTTCATGTCTGGCCTTTATTATGTTGAGGTATGTTCCCTCTAAACCTATTTTGTTGAGGGTTTTTATCATGAATGGATGTTGTACTTTGTCAAATGCTTTTTCTGCATCTATGGTTTTCATCCTTTATCTTGTCAATGTGATGTATTACTTTGACTTATTTGGAAATATTGAGCCACGCTTGCATCTCAGGAATAAATCCCACTAGATTTTGGTGAATGATTTTTTAATGTATTGTTGTATTTGGTTTCCTAATGTTTTGTAGAGGATCTTGGCATCTATATTCATCAGAAATATTGACCTGTAGTTACCTTTTTTTGTAGTGTCTTTATCTGGTTTTGGTATAAGGGTAATGCTGGATTCATAGAATAAATTTGGAAGTTTTCCTTCCTCTTCTATTTTTTGGAATAGTTTGAGAAGAATAGGTATTAACTCTAAAAAAACAAAACAAAACAAAAACAAAAACGAAACTCTTCTTTCAATGTTTGGTAGAATTTACCTATGAAGCCACCTGATCCTGGACTTTTGTGGGTTGGGAGTTTTTTGATTACTGATTCATTTTCATTGATGGTAATTGTTCTGTTCAAATTTTCTATTTCTTCCTGATTCAGTTTTGGGAGGTTATATGTTTCTAGGAACTTATCTATTTCTTCTAGGTTGTTCAATTTGTTGACATATAATTTTTCATAATATTCTCTTATAATCCTTTGCATTTCTGTGGTGTCAGTTATTTCTCTTCTTTCATTTCTGATTTTGTTTATTTGAGTCCTCTCTCTCTCTCTCTCTCTTTCTCTTTTGATGAGACTGGCCAAAAGTTTATCAATTTTGTTGACCTTTTCAAAGAACAAGATCCTGGTTTCTTTGATGTGTTCTATTGTTTTTTGTTTTGTTTTGTTTTGTTTTTTTTAGTTTCTATTTCATTTATTTCTGCTCCAATCTTTATCATTTCCTTCCTTCTACTGGTTTTGGGTTTTGTTCTTTTTGTACCTCCTTTAGGTGTAGAGTTAGGTTGTTTATTTGAGATTTTTCTTCCTTCTTGAGGTAGGCCTATATTGCTATAAACTTCCTCTTAAAACAGCTTTTGCTGTATCCCAGCAATTTTGGAACATTGTGTTCTCTTTTTCATTTGTCTATATGTATTTTACATTTCCTCTTTGAATTTCTTGGTTGACCCATTCATATTTAGTAGCATATAATTTAACCTCTATATAAATTTGTGTTCTTTCTAGACTTTTTCTTGTGGCTGATTTCTAGTTTCATAGCCCTGTCTTGTCCAATAAAATGCATAGTATGACTTCAAACTTTTTGAATTTGTTGAGTTTTGGCTTATGTTTTACCATGTGATCTCTTCTGGAGAATGTTCCATGTGCACTTGAAAAAAATGTGTTTTCCTCTCGGGGCGCCTGGGGGCTCAGTTGGTTAAGTGACTGCCTTCAGCTCAGTTCATGATCTCAGGGTCCTGGGATTGAGCCCCACATCGGGCTCCCTGCTCGGCGGGAGGCCTGCTTCTCCCTCTCCCACTCCCCCTGCTTGTGTTCCCTCTCTCGCTCTCTCTCTCTGTCAAATAAATAAAATCTTAAAAAAAAATGTGTTTTCTGTTGTTTTAGGGTGGAATGTTCTGAATATATCTGTTAGATCCTTCAGGTTCAATATATCACTCAAAACCACTGTTTCCTTGTTGATTTTCTGTCTGTATGATCTATCCATTGATGTAAGTGGTGTGTTAAAGTCCCCTACTGTTATTATATTACTATTGATTACTTCCTTTATGTTTGTTATTAGCTGCTTTATGTACTTGGGTGCTCCCATGTTAGGTGCATAAATATTTACAATTGTTATATCTTTTTGTTGGACTGTTCCCTTTATGATTATGTAGTGTCCTCATTTGTTTCTTTTTATAATCTTTCTTTTAAAGTCTATTGTGTCTAATACAAGTATTGCTACCCTGGCTTTCTTTTCACTTCTATTTGCAGATAAATGCTGTTCTATCCCTTCACTTTCAATCTGCCTGTGTCTTTAGTTCTGAAATGAGTCTCTTGTAGGCAGCATATAGATGAGTCTTATTTTTTATCCATTCCACCACCCAATGTCTTTTCAATGGGGCATTTAGTCAATTTACATTCAGAGTAATTACTGATATGTATGTATTTATCGCCATTTTGTTACCTGCTTTATGGTTGTTTTTGTAATTCTCTGTTCCTTTCTTATGATGCTCTCTTTTCTCATGGTTTACTTTCTTTTGAGATACATTTGGGTTCCTTTCTCTTTATTTTTTGCATTTTTATTAGTGGTTTTTAATTTATGGTTACCATTAGGTTTATAAATAACATCTTATGCATATAGCAGTCTATATTAAATTAATGGTTGCCTAAGTTTGAACCCATTCTTTACTCTTCTCCCCACACTACATTTAAGGCATGTTGTTTCATACTTTACATCCTTTTATTTTGTGAATCCCTTAACTGATTTTTATAGATATAATTAATTTTACTCCTTTTTGCTTCCTACTTTTCTTACTTTTACTTATGGTCTTTCCTTTCCACTCAAAGGCCCTTTTAACATTTTTTGTAGGGCTGATTTAGTAGCCATGAATTCCTCTAACTTTCGTTTGTCTGGGAAATTCTTTATCTCTCGTTCTATTCTGAATTATAGCCTTACTTGATAGAGTATTCTTGGTTGCAGGTTTTTTCCTTCTTCTGGCCTGCAAAGTTTCTGCTGAAAAATCAGCTGATAGCCTTATGGGGTTGCCCTTGTATATAACTTTTCTTTTCTCTTGTTGCTTTAAAAATTCTCTTTATCACTGCTTTTTGTCATTTTAATCACTATGTGTCTTGGTGTGAAACTTCTCGGGTTGATTTTGTTGGGAGCTCTCTGTGCCTCCTGGATCTAGATTTTTGTTTCCTTTCTTATGTTTGGGAAGTTTTCAGCTATTACTTCTTCAAATAAATTTTCTGACCCTTTTTCTGTCTCTTCTCCTTCTGGGATTCCTATAATGTGAATGTTATAATGTTTGATGTTGTATCTGAGTTCCTTAAACCTATCTTCCTTTTTAATTTTTTTTCTCTTTCCTGTTCAGCTTGATTGCTTTCCATTACTGTCCTCCAGGTCACCGATCCATTCTTCTGCTTCCTCTAGTACACTATTTATTCCATCTTGTGTTTCAGTTACTGAGTTCTTCATCTCTGATTGGTTCTTTTTTATATTGTTTTTGTCTCTTGTAAGGGTCTCACTGAGGTCCTCCACTCTTTTCTCCAATCCAGTGAGTAGCTTTATGATCATTACTTTAAATTTTCTATCAGGGATATTACTTTTGTTTAGCTCTCTTGCTGTGATTTTGTCCTGTTGTTTCATTTGGGACATATTCCTCTGTCTCCTCATTTTTGCCTAACTCTCTGTGTCTATTTCTGGGTTAGAAAAGTCAGCTACATCTCCTGCTTTTGTATGAAGAAGAGGTCCTGAAGTGCCCAGCAATGCAATGTCCCCTGTTCACCAGAACCTGGTGCTTTAGGGGTGCCTCCTATTTGTGTTGTGTGTGCCCTTCTATTGTGGTTGAGCTGCTTTTGCCTTCAGTCCAGTTGTCTGTAATGGCTCTCTGCCTGTTTTGGGCAGCATTTGGTGCCCGTGTTGTTAGTGGGCCTGTCTGGGGCTGCCCCCACTTAAGCTGGGTCAGACCAAGTGTTTGCCAGAACTGTGGTTATACTGAACTGCAGGGCACTCTTCCTGTGTTGTCCTCTGATAAGTTTTAGTTGGTGGTCAGGGCCTGTAGTCAGACCAGATGTCTGCCCCAGCCCACTGCAAAAAAATAATGGATTTAACAAAGTATGTATATTGCTCTGGCTGAAGGGCATGGGGGTGTGGGGGATTGTTGGGGGGTGGGTGGAGATAGTAACACTTATCCAAAGCTATGCTTATCCCATAGGACTTGCTTCCCAAAGGAAGACACTGAATTGGTAAATTTTGAGAATTTTGTGATCTGCCAAACAAGTTAATGAAAATTTCAAAGTCAGATTCCCCTATTCCCTTGATGCCAGAAAAATTATATACATTCTCTCCTTCCCCCATTTTCACATTTTCACTCTCTTTCCTTTTCTCTCTTTTAAACATTTCACTGTAAGGCGTTATATTGCTAGTGTTGTTGGGTTTAAGTGGAAACTGAACATGGGATATTTATATTTGTGAAGATATTTATATTTGTGATATTATTTTTGGAAAAAAGTAGAAAATAACAATAAGTGCTTACACAAATATTTTCCCTTGTTGAACTTGTGTTTTTTTTTGCTTTGTTTTTGTTCTTCTGATTTGCTCTCTCTATGGACTGTGATTTCCCAGCCAAGGCTCTGCCAAGCCTGACCCTTACAAGAGAGTAAAACTTTTGTACATTCTTTTGGCAAAATAAGTATTCAAAGATGGATATTTGCACTTTTCTTGGGTGCTTTATGGGCACTTTGACTTGACATCATAGTTTTCAAAGTCTAAGAGAATATACTAACTTGGATGAAAAACATATATACAGGGTTAGGAAAAAGTATAATGTGTAGGACCTAAAAGGGCTTGATTTTCTTGTCTGGCAAAATATATTTTATGCAATCCCAGAGCTGAAGGAAAGACAAATGAATGTCCCCATGGTGTAATCACCAAGTTGAAAAATCAGGTGACTTCAGACTTCAATTCCCTTTTAGCCCAGTAAGTTTTTATGTTTTTTATATATTGGTTGGTGGATGAGTCAATGTTTAAATGGTCATTCATCATTTACCATATAAAAGAAAAGCTATTACCTGAAACTCATTTTTACAGTTGCAGGCAAACAGAAATAATCATTTTCAAGGACCTAAAGCTGTTTCTTGAACAATGTCATCATTTTATCCTTATTTTACTTACTGTTTACTTATATATGAGCCCGTTTTTGAGCTGCACACTGCAAGTTCTGGCTGTAAACAGTTTCCACCAACTCCCTGCTAAAGCAAGTGAGGAAAGGGAATTTGACTTTCCAGAAATCAAAATTATCTTTCAGACAGACTCAAAGAACCAGACCAAAGGCAAAAAGGCAGCTATAAGCAGTCATGTCTCCCATCGTGAGCCAATAGTGTTAATTCTAGGTAGTTAGGAGACTATTAAAGTGTCTCTATAGGAAAATCACCTAGACCTGGTTATAAGTCCTCTCTCTGCTGTTTAATAACTGAATGAGTACAAGCAATTTTGTGGACCTATTTTGGCCATATTTTTCTTAATGTCCTAAACAGGAGAAGTAATACTATCTATATCAGAGAGTAGTTGTCAATGTGAAATAAAACATTCAAAAGCCCCGCTAACCTAGCTGATGTGTCATAGGAGCTTAATAAATGTTAATTCACTCCTGGTTAATCACTCTAAGATCCAAGAATTCTCTTTAACTGGGTCAGAGCAACCTGCCCAACTCTGGCTGTTCTTGAAATATAACCCCAGGCTAAACATGATTCAATCCTACACTAAACCAGGTGGAATATGTATAATGGGCCTTGTTTTAGTCCCAAATACTCACCTCTCCTTCTCTCTTCAAGAAACATCTGTTGGGTACCAACATGTGTGAGGGACCATGCTGGACCCTTACATACTTCATCTCCTTTAATCATTATAACTAAAATGAAGGAGCAGTTGTTATCCTAGTTAACTACAAAGGGGACTGAATTTCTGAGAAATTAACCAGCTCAGAGTTGCTAATTAATGATAAGTCTGTCTCCAAGTCTTGTCCCACTTTACCAGTCTACCTCCCTCTAAGTTTTGTGATGTCAGAGAAGTTTCTGAAGTATGGTTTCCATAAATCAGCCATAGTGTTTACCATGACAAACTAATCATCACATAAACAAAAAGTAGCGCTTTAGGGTTACTCTGCAGCCAGTGGATATTGTCAACACAAACAGTTTTGTACTTCTTTTGGCTTGCTGGTTGATAGCACTGTGCTGGGTGTCAGAGACAGTCACATAATATGCCAGGGCGGGAGGAGAACCACCACAGATGGTCAATAGGGAGAGGGTGGGAGGCAAAGCTGAAACGGGCACAAGGACCAAGCTAAAAACAACTGATACTACAAGACTAATAGTGTGGACTTTGTTCTTAGTGGCTTCCTGCCCCTGTCTTCCATCTATACTCATGTCCACTTTTCTACCACCTTTTTTAGTTTCCCAAGAAATATGAGAGGACAAAGCTACTACATGTGCATCATTTACTAAGTGTGTGTCTGTTTATTAAATTCTGTCCAGATCAGCTCACACTCTCTGATCAGCAGAACCAGATAGTGTGGATACACCCAGGACCCTTGCATTCCTTTCCTCTGGAGTCTAGAGCTGAGTTAGGCCTGAGCAGTCTTCTATTTTTCAGAGGACTTTCTGTAACCCATGAAGTCCTCCAAGTCCGTAGTTTTTGTCCAAGGAGAGGAGAGGAGAGGAGAAACAGTAGACATTTTTACCCTTTCACTTTCCCTTCCAAGAGCTGAGGTCCTAGGCTCCCATGTGTCCCTGTGAATCCATAATAGACTCTCCCTGAGGGTAGAGTAGGCATGTAATGGCCAGCAAGGACCATTTTATTATAAAATACATTAAGGTAGTTGCACCTTTAGAATCAATTACTTGGGAAAATAAAGAATGAGAAAAATTTAAGATGAAACTAGTAAATTGCAATGTAAGCAAATTTGTATTTTAATTATCAGAACAACATTTATGCACATTTGAAAAATAAAAATTGTGACATATCCACTTGGGAGACTCAGCCTTCAGGCAATTCCTAGTGTGTTCAGTGGGATTTGAGGACCCCTTGAAGTCATTGTGCAGCATCCCCCCAAGGGAGAGCTTCAACCACAGGTCAAGAACCCCTACTCATGGTAATGGGGAGCTACTGAGGATCATGAAGACTAATATAAAGTGATATATTAAGGAAACTGAAAGATCCCTGGAGAAATAAGAGACTGACCATAGGGAGATTGATTGATGATTACATTATTCTAAGTATAAGGCTTTAGGGTCTAGGTGTATGTAGTAGTGATAGAAACAGAATTTAGTTGACAGATACAAAGAATCTGTATATTTGTTTTTTATTTCTTGCTACTTGGATGTTGAAAGAAGGTGAGAGACCAACTTTTCAAGTCCTAGTGATTGGGAGGTTGTTGGTAGTAAACCATCTTCTTTGGAGAAAAGATAAAATCAGTCCTAGCTATGTTATCTTGAAATAATGGTGGTATATTTCCTGGGTGGGTAGGTGGGGATCCTAAGCAAGCAGTTAGAAGTATGTAATTGAAATTCAAAAGATAGGTCATGACTGTGGATAGAGATTATGGAGTCATTTCTGTAGAAGAAGTAATTCAAACCATAAGAGACCAAAAATGCACTCTAAGAGAAAGAATGCAGAGCTGGAACAGTTGATGATGGATCTAGAGTCTACCAGGGTCAGCCAACTTTTTCTGTAAAGAGCCAGAGAGTAAATATTCTAAGCTTTGTGGGCCAAAGGTCTCTGATGCAACTACTTAACTATGTCATTGTAGAGCAATTAAATAAACTGGCATGGCTCTGTTCCAATAAAAAGCTATTACAGAAACAGGTGAGTGGCTGGATTTGGCCCAAGGGCTTTAGTTTGCTGACCTCTGGTTTAGAAACATAAGCTCCATGATGGCAAGGACCACATCAACTTGGCCTACTACTATATGCACAGCACCTAACACAGCACCTGACTTACTGTAGATTCTCAACAGACATTTGTTGAATTGATGAATGCTATGTTGAAATGAGTGCATCTATATTTAGCTGTGTTGGGGCAACAGAGTAAACCAAGAGAATTCTAATAGTCATGAGAACAGTCAAGAATGTATGACATAGACAAAATCAAGAAAAGAGTGTGCCAAAAAAGAAGTCTAGCAACAATGATGACTGATAGGTTTTGAAGAATGAGGAGTTAGAATTTTCTTTTTGGCAATTAAAACAAGTCAGATACTGAGGTATAAATGATAAGAATAGGGTGCCTGGGTGGCTCAGTCAGTTACGAGTCTGCCTTAGGCTCAGGTCATGATCTTCAATCCTGGGATTGAAGCCCGTATCAGGCTCCAGGGAGTCTGCTTCTCCCTCTCCCTCTGCTGCTCCCCCAGCTTATGCTCTCTCTCTCTCTCTCAATCTCTCTCTCTCTGTCAAATAAATAAATAAGATATTTAAAAAAATAAATAATAAGAATAAGAGATCACAGGAATGGTATCAAAGAAAGGATCTATCCTAACCTGGGTGTTAGGATGGGAGTACTTTTATGAAGGAATTTACATGGTTTAACTTCAGTAGTTACTGCCCTTCCAATTTTTAAATTTTCAGTCAAAAAGATATTATAATTATAGTCCCAAATCTGTGGATTCAGTTTTTATAAATCTAACATCATGATTTTGTGAACTGTTTGAGGGAGAATTAGTCAAACTTGTTTTTTGACGTTATGTAGATAAAATAACCAGCTTGACTAATTTTTTCAAGTAGTTGTGTTGATATTTGTCAAGAATTTTTCTTTTAGCGGTTAACTTTTATGAATTTCCAACTTCACTTTATGAAGTCAAGATTAAACATACGATTTAAATATTTTCATTTTATTATCAGTTTCCAACGTTTACTTATTCCTTCCAGATTATCCCACACAGAGCTGTTGGAATTACTCCATGATGATTTCAAAGAAAACGTTCTTCTCTAAATACTCTTATCCCAAGGTAAATTGATGGATTTCTAATGAATAAGTTCCAGGAGGAAAGCATCAGCAATTTATACTCCAATTCAGAGTATTTAATTCCTTCACCCTGAACTG